AATGTATATTGACTTTTAGTATTGTGAGGAGTGCCCATACAATTTTCATGGTGGCTACACTGGTTTATGTTCTACTGACAGTGTAGGAAGGCCCTTTTTCCTTGTCCCCTCACCAGCATGCATTGTCTTCTGTATTCTTGATGACAGCCATTCTGACTAGAGTGAGATAGAATCTCAATGTAGTGTTTTTTTTTTAAATATGGAACACTTCACGAATTTGCATGTCATCCTCGCCCAGGGGCCATGCTAATCTTCTCTGTATCGTTCCAATTTTAGTAAATGTGCTGCCGAGGTGAGCACTCTCAGTGTAGTTTTGATTTGTGTTTCTGTAATGGTTAAAGATGTTGAACATTTTTCATATACTTATTGGCCATTTGTACTTCTTGTGAGAATTCTCTGGTAAATTCACTTGCTCATTTATTATTATTTGGTTTTTTGGTGTTTTTAGAAAACATATTCTAGATAGGAATCCTCTATTGGAAGCATAGCTACCAAAGTTTTTCTTGTAGGTTGTCTCTTCACTTTGTTGTTTCCTTTACTGTACAGAAGCTTTTTTTTGGTACCGGGGATCAAACTCGGGTCTTTGCACCTTCCAGGCAGGTGACAGGCAGTGGAACCACTGAGCTAAATCCCCAGCATAGAAGCTTTTTAATTTGTAGTCCCATTTGTTGATTCCTGTGCTATTGGATCCCTATCCATGAAGGAATGAACTCTCACTGGATGTGACTGTTTGGATGGATCTCAAGGATATCACATTCAGTGAAAAAGCCAATCTCCAAGTGCCACACGCTCAATGGCTCTGTGTATATGAATTCTTGGTGTGATGAAGTCATGGAATCCAGCAAAGGTTGGTGGCTGCCAGAGCTGAAGGGTGGTGGAGGAGGGCTGGCTGGGAAAGGGAGCTCTAGGGAGGTCTTCCTGGGGTCATTTCTCCATCATGGTGGTGGCTTCTGTGAATTTAAGCATTTGATAAATGACAAAGAACTACACAGTTTGTGGGTCAGAGTTTGTGGTCCAGTAGTGTCATCAGGGATGGACTCCCTGCAGGTATCCAGATCTATGGATGTTTAAGTCTCTTACAGAAAATGGCACCATATTTGCATATAACTTTCACACACCCTTTCCTACAGGTTAAATCATTCTTAGCTTGCTTATAATTCCTGATACAATATAAATGATATGTAAATAGTTGGGACACTGTTCTTTAGGGAATAATGATGAGAAAAATATCTGTACATGTTCATTATGGACACATTTCTTTTTCAACATTTGGTTGGGTGAATCTACAGATGTGTAACCTGTGAATACACATAGCTGCCTGTACACATCCAGTGTGCCCATGTCAGATTCCTGATTTCATATGATTCTGGAGTTATGCAAGATGTCACCACTGGGGACTTGGGAAATGGCACACAGGTTCTTGATATCACCTTCCACTTTCTATGAATTGTCATTATTTCAAACTCACAAGGCAAGAAAAAAAATGATGGCAAAACAAAGGCTTGTTTTTCTGAAAAAATATTACAATAGAGTGTGTGGGCCTCCTTATGCATCGTCTGCTGTGAGGACACATTGATATCACTCACAGCACTTGCCCGGAGGAGCTCCATGTAGCCAGAGGTGCAAGCAAGGCAACCTCCCTTCCCCTACCTCGCTCCAGCTCTTCGACACTTCTCCATTGTCCCACACCCTGCTCTGCATCAGGTGTCACTGGGCACTGGGGACAGGGTGGTCAGGTAGACACCTCTTCCTTGGGAGACACAGATAGTAATATGGTGGAATAAGAGCTAGGAGACCCCATGACAAGTGCTGGCCCAGCTGGTGGACCCAGGAGGCCTCCTGGATGACAGAAGTCTTGAACTGGGCCTAGAAAGATGAACTGCAACCAAAGAGACAAAGACAGAAAAAGCCTAGGGGACCAGGGCCAGCAGGTGAAGGTTGGTAGGCAGGGCTGGTGCTTAGGTGGACCTGGAAGTTCAGGGAGAGGCAAGTGCCGAGGGAGGTGGGAGCTGGGAGGTGGAGGACTGGGTACTAATCTTGGGTATTTGGACTTTATTTTTAAAGTCTCTGTGGAGGAAATGAAGGGCAAGAGAGTCACATGATCAGTTTAGAAAATATCCCCCCCGCCCCGGCAATGGAGAGCTTAGGTTAAGTGGAAGACCAGGGTCCAACCAAGAGGGCAACACAGGGGAGATGTGGGGAGGCCTGGAGTGGGCAGGCCACAGGTGTGGGAAAGAGAGCTCAGAAGACAGTCTCGGGGCCCACAGCTAAGGGGGCTTGTACACACCATGCAGCTGTAATGATTAATGCCTTACAGAGCATCCATGGGAGCTAAGATTCTCTGGCTAGGCTTCTTCCAAGATTCCTTGGAATGTGACTTCTTTCCATGATGCCAAATTGTCCCCATCTGGACCCTGGGGCAGGGTGGGCCTGGCCCAGGCTGTCTTGTACTCTTGGAGCTGCAGGGCCAAGAGCCTGCTCACTGCTTGAGAATGCCTTAAATTACTGCAGATGGCCTTCGAGGGGCTGCCTTCTAGAAAGGCTGTCATGTGGTGGCTCCAGCGACCTCTCTACCCTAGGCAGATGCAGCTACAGCCCCAGAAAGGGCTCTGCACTGGGCCCCTGCTTTGGGCCACGTGTGTTTATGTCTGAGCATCTGCCAAAGCCAGTTCAACAGTCTGCCCTGCACAAGATTCCCAGTTGTCAAAGTTCTGGCAACAGGCAGCACTTTATACTTTTGTTTTAATCTATAATGAGGAATTCATAGAATATTTATCACCTTGCAGGTGACTTCCTGTGGGCCGGGTGCTATTTTTTCTCTCTTTTGAGGATGTCTCCAGTGTCTTAAGTTCATCCTGGTTCACTCAGTGCTCTCTGGATACTGATTGGGAGTCATTATCACCTGGAAGGAGAAATCACTGGCAACCATACTTGTTTCTGCACTTACAGGAGGCTGATGGTGGTGGCTCATTGCTTTGCAAAAAAAATACCTTCACAGCTGGGCACGATAGCACAGCAACCTGGGAGGCTGATGCAGGATAATAGAAAGTTTGAACCCAGTATGGGCAACTTAGCAAGATCCTGCCTCAATAAATAATTTTTTTAAAAAGGTAGGGATGTAGTTCAATCTGAGGGCTCTGGGTTTAACCCTCAGAACCATAAAACAAAAACCCCAAACAATGAAAAACCCCTTCATCTCAAAGTTTACAGTGAATTCTGTACAAACTATCATAGACACATAGAGATGTATAGTTACATATAATACACATGTAAGTCACAGTATTTAGAAAGCTAACCAAGGCTTCTAGCCCCCACATTTCCTCTTCCTTCCTCTTTTGTTCAATCTTATGAGCTCTCTGCTTTTGTGGCCTCAGGCAATGGATCAATTTCTTGGCTTTTGATTTTTAAAAACCAGACCTGTTTGTAAACCAGCCCCCTGGGGATAATACCTGAGGAATTACTATAGCAAGGCTTCCTCCCACTCTTCTTAGGGTGGGATAATGGAGAATCAGAAAGTGAAGAGAATTTAAATGCTTCTAGGTTCCCCAGAGACCCTGGCCCTGATGCCAGGACCTAATCCCCAGGGAAAGGGTGACAGAGACCTCAGCTAGGTTTGGGAGAATCTGAGAGATTAGAGATCTTGCCCCTAGCAGTCATGTCTGCCTGGGAGAGGGCCTTAGGGAGCTTTTCAGGGTTGCCCACAGCTGCAACAAGGAGGAAACATAGAAATGATTGCTGTCTGTCCACCTGCTTGAGATAATCACCAAGGCTCAGTATCCTAAAGCCCAAGTCCTGAGGGACGGAGAATGGAACAGCACAGTAATGCACCATGTGGGTGACACAAGAGAGAAGGGAGGTACTATGAGCAGCTATGATATAGAGAACAGACTGGGGGACAAATGGCAGCATCAGAGCTTTCTAAGAAATGGGAGCAGGGGCCAGAAGTGACCGTTGAACTAGGCCTGGAAAGAGAAGCCAAGTATTTCTTGCACAGCCAGGATTTCGGGTTGAGATGCATGTCTTCTCAGTCATTTTTTATTTAAGGCAGCATTGTTGTGTTTGAGAGGGCAGAACCCATTGAATTGGACATTGTCAGATGTTTACTTAGAATGAACAAAAACGATTGTTATGTTCAGTGTTCTCTTCTGTAAAATATAAAATGCAAAAAAGATGATTTCACTGTGAGAGTGACACTGGCCACCTGCACTTTGGTGAATGTGCATCTCTGTTTGCTGGCCACAACCACAGTCTGAGCTCTAGTCACCCTGTTCCCTCTGCATTTCCAACAGGTCCCAGGATCCTCCTGACTTGAGAGGCAATGTTGCCCAGCAGGGTGAGTTAAACATGGCCAATGACTTATAAAACCCTAGGTTCAGACTACTGCAGCCAATGTTCATAAGACAGACAGTAACTGACAAGTGCAGAACAGATGTGAAAAGACACAGGTGACTTTGGACAAATGCACTTGTTCACTGCAAGAACCCACCTCCAGGAAGGTCATCATGCTTCACCTCCACCCTTCCAGTACTGAGTGCCTTCCGCAAGCTTGCGTGAACCAAGTCCATTGCCAGCTATGGCAGCAACAAGGAGCATGTATTTGCTGAATTTCTGCTCTGTGCTCACCAGCCTCAAGGAGGGCACTGGGGTCAGAACTAAGAAGACCCTATTCCTTCCCTCCAGGAACTAGGGTTCAAGGGTGTTGGTCTTAAACACTATCCCATCTACTTGAGGGCAACCAACATTCTGTATGGACTGTTGTCAGCGCCCAACTAAGACCTGAGCAGGAAGTGTGTTTCCCTCCCAAATGAGTGTGACCTCCTCCCCCAACTGTGGACATCATGAAGCAGGGCAGAGCACAGAGGACATGCCCTCATTATCTAACAGGTAAAGAGCTGGTCCCAGAGCACCTTCCCCTACTATGACAGCATGTCTTTGTGATGTATGGGATGCTAAGTGTGTAAAAAGGCAAGTAAAAAGGCAAGATTTTGGGGGAGTATGGAGAAAGGTCACTTGGCCTACCTGAGTTACATAGGTCAAAGAAAACTCTGGAGGAGGTGACACCTATGCTGCATCCTTAAGGGTGAGGAAGGTTGCCAAGTAGCTAGGTGAAGAAAGGAGGGGAGGAGAGCTGGGTAAGTGGGACACATGTGTACCTGAGTGTTACTGACCCAGGCCTGTTTCACCCATCCTGCAGTATGCTGATCTCTGAAATGATAAGTTTTGTGCAGAAGAGTTCATTCACAAAGCAGCCAAAGGTAGCAATGGGCTGGCAAGTTTTGAATTAGCCTCCATGAAGGTAGGATCTGGGGATATTTATGGGCTGAGGTGTGGGGAAAGGTGACTGGGTTAGGAAGCAATCAGTGGTCCTGTTTGCATAATCAAAATTCGCCAGCTTCACAATCCATTTGCCAGAGGGGCTATGTACACCTCTAAAATTGGTGATTTTTAAATCAGCTAAAAGCAAGTCATTAAGAGTAGATGAAGAGGGTTAATTCAAGGGTATATTATAGTTTGGACCAAAAATGTGCCCTGAAGGCCATGTGTTGATGGCTTGGCCCCTTACCTATGGTGCTACTGGGAGATGGTAGAACCTTAGGAGCTGGAGCCTGGTGGAAGGAAGTTAGGTCAGTGGGGTGTGTCCTTGGAGGGATCTCAACTCTTTAGATCTCAACTCTTTCCTCTCACTTTTTACTTCCCAGCAAGGTGAGCAGCTTGCTCCACTACATGGTCTTCAATAAGATGTGCTGCCTTGACCCAGGCACAAAGTCAACCAACCATGGACTAAACCTCCAAAACCATGAGCCAAAGTAAACCTTTCTTCTTCTAAATTGGTTCAGTTTTAAGTATTTTGTCATAGTAATGGAAGTCTTACTGAAACAGAGGATTTATGAAGCTTTCCTTCAGCCTCATGTCTTTAAGAAGGATGTATTCAATGCCCTCTTGGTGTATAGGGCCTGTTTATGCAAGGCTGTGAGTTCTGGAGTCAGGGAGACCTCTCTATCCAGCTGTTTATTTGCAGCCATGGGATCACTTGTGGGTAAAACATTCATCTGGCTCACAATTACACTTCAGATATATATGATGAACTTGGGTAAAAGAGGTAGGAGAAACAGAAAAAGAAAACAAAAATATTCCTTCTGAGGAAGGCAGGAGGGAATTTAATTTGGTAGAGGGCAGAATGGCTGTGGGTGGAGTTCCAACTGCCCCAGTTGGGGCTATGGGTCTTTTTAATCTGAGTGGTTTTTGTCAATGTGTGTAGTATTGGCTCCTTGTGGTTTCTATTTGCCTTTCCTAAAGACTAAGGAAGTTGAGCCTCTTCTGAAGTGCTTAATGCCATTTGTATATCTGCTGTGAGGAAGGATTTCATCAAATTATTTGCTTTTTAAAAGGTGGGTTAAAGCTGAGCCATCTCAGAACTCGGAAGGAAGCTCCCCAGACACCATCCCAAGCTCATAGGGCAGAGAAGCTGAGCCAGTCCCAGCACCTGGAAGGAAGCTCCCCTGCCGCTATCAAAAACTCCCAGGGCAGAGAAGGTGAGCTCGTCCCAGAACTCGGAAGGAAGCTCCCCCACCACCATCCCAAGCTCCTAGGGCAGAGAAGCTGAGCCAGTCCCAGAACTCGGAAGGAAGCTCCCCCGCTGCCATCCCAAGCTCCTAGGGCAGAGAAGGTGAGCCAGTCCCAGAACCCGGAAGGAAGCTCCCCACTGCCATCCCAAGCTCCTAGGGCAGAGAAGGTGAGTCGTGTGGGTTCCAGAAGCACCACCCACCCCGTGAAATGAGAAGACACATAAACAAGCCTCAAAAACAGACTTCTGGATCACCTACAGCAACCCCAAAGGGAAACAAGATGGAACAATCTGATACTCAACCACCTGGACTCTCTGAACTGGCAACAAAAGAGGATTTGGGAAAAATGA